TTTAGACAGAGGAGATGGTGTCTCACTGGAAAAGAAAAGAGGAGAAAATTGTAGCAGTGGACGTATGAAATGACCAGAGCACAACCTGAGTTTTCATCAAGTACATAGTGCTGTACAGAGAGTGTGTCATGATGTGATGATGGGCTGAAGACAGGAAGAATAAAAACTTAAACTGTTGTAGTTGATCAGTGGGCTTAATCATGATATGGTCACTAGATGCTGATGCTATTGATTGATTGATTGATTGATTTATATCCTGCCTTTTTCCTACAAAGGGCTCAAGGCAGCTTACATCTCCTCCTCCATCTTATCCCCACAACAACAACCCTGTGAGGTAGGTTGGGCTGAGAGTCTGTGGCTGGCCCAGAGTCACCCAGTTGGCTCCATGGCCGAGCGGGGACTTGAACCCAGATCGCCTGAGTCCCAGTCCCACGCTGTTAACCACTGCACCACACTGGTGGTGAAGTGAGTGGGGATGATGTGTTTTATGTTCTGTCTCTGCCCTAGTTCTGGAACAGAATGGCTTCAGTGCTGGTGTGTTCTTCTGGCAGTTCTGCAGGGTGTGCTGGCTTATCTGTCATGTTGATGGTATATGTATTGTTCTGGCTTACAGCAAATTTTCTGGACCCTCAGTGGGCAAATCTTCAGCATAGGACTGCACACTAAGTTAATAAACCAAATATCTAGTGAATCCATTCAGTTTAGAAAACAACTGAATAAATTTGGAATTCAGCAACCTTCTTTACCTGAACATCTAGCATTAAGAAGATATGCAAAAAATGAATAATAGGCATTATTATTTGCATAGGCATTCAGTGGATGTGGCCTCCTGTGTACGATGTTAGTCCTAGGTCAGGTTGCCCAGGACATTGTACAGCATGTATATGTTGTTGAGCCATTAGGTAACAGTGACCATTACCATGAGGTAGGTTGGGCTGAGAGTCTGTGACTGGCCCAGAGTCACCCAGTTGGCTCCATGGCTGAGCGGGGACTAGAACCCAGATCACCTGAGTCCCAGTCCCATGCTCTTCACCACTACACCACACTGGCACTCCTAAGAGAAGAATGCTTGGAAGCATCTTGGTCATAACTGAACTTGAGCCAATGAAGAGACATTGAAGCAGAATAACCACTGGGCATGCTGAACAGCAGAACAGGTGATGTAGAGAGATGGAGCTGGGCAACATCAGTGTAACAGTGACACTGAAAGTCAACAGATTCAGACACAATGTATAAAGACATATCATCAAAGGGGCCCAGTGAAGAGTTTTATACCTAGGAAGATCAAAGAGCCATGGATATGCAAGCAAGACCAGCTGGAGGAAAATTCATATCAAGGATATCAAAGTTGGCAAAGATATTGAGAACAAAGTATAGTTCACTGAAAATTAGGGGATGCTTGGTGAGGACAATTTCAGTAGGGTGCAGAGTGCAAAAATCAGATGGTGGTGGGAGGAAAAATAAAGTCAGTGGGAATAGGCAGCATACTCCATGCATGCCAGATGAAAGAATCAAAGAAAGTTGATCCACAGTGAGAGGTGGAGAACGTGTTGACAAAGAAGGAGGTTTGGTGTGTTTTGAACAAGCTGGAGGATCAAAATCCCCTGATCCATCCCCCTAACTGCCAGCTGATCTGTCTTTTTCCCTTTGTTTCCAAAATTCTGTTGGAGAAGATACTGTATCAATGATGAAACTAATTATTTAGGCATTTGGGGTAAAGCAAGATAAAGGAACAATACTTTTGAGAAATTGATTTTATTTCTGATACTCCAAAATGATAAAATATGGGGCCATGTGCTTCACTGAAAATGGTTTTACTTCTAACTTTGTATTCATACAAAATAGAAATGACATAAAAAGATCCACAAAAACAATCCACATACACCCATAACATTAGAGCTGTTCTCCGTTGCAGAACAGAACATTTCTAGAACATTTCATGTGTAACATTAGAAATAGAAATGGAGAGGTGCTTGGCCTTCTCCAAATCACTTAGCATCAGTGAATACTTTCTTCTTCAAAGTAACAGGTTTAAGGAATGTTATATAACCTTAATAGCAGTGTGCAAAGAAATGTAGTAGATATTTATTTGGAAAACAAGCAATTTAAAAAGCATGTACTTAGCTGGATCCAGTCTTATAGAATAGATTCATTAAACTCAGTGTTCTATAACTGAATGATTTAAAAGCCCTGTAGACTCATTGAAATAAAAATAATAACAATAAAATGAAATAAAAATTATTCATAACCCTAACCCTAACTCTATACATGTCTGTTCATAAGTAAGCCCCATGAATTTCAATGCGACTTACTCTCACATCAGTGGGAGCAAGGCTGCACCCTAAGCCTGGGTCCAACATATTGTATTAATGTTCATTGTTTCTTGAAAAGGATTGCTTATATTCCTTGCTTTACTCTCTTCATAATAAGAATCCCAGTATTACTAAATGTTAATTAGCCTATGAGTAATTGGGCAGCATACAAATCAAATCAATCAATTAAATAACTAAATAGTGTCAAGCAATTGACTGAAGTATGTTGCAATAAAGAAAGTTCCAACTCTCTTAGTTTTGGAAGATATTCTGCAGGAGCACTGCATGGCCCAGATGATGGAGAATCTCAGCTTCACATGCTTCAGATTTTGAGAATTCCCAAACCGCCTTAAGGAAGCAAATAAGGAAGCTTCTTTTGCGCGACTGGTTCTTCAGAATTTAAGTTCAGCTAAATTCAGTGAAAAAGACATGTGTCTTTGAAATTCTATGGAAAGTTTAAGGGAAGACATTCACAGAATCATAGAATAGTAGAGTTGGAAGGGACCATGAAGGCCATCAGGTCCAACCCCCTGTTGTTGCAGGACACCAGTTTACACCATCCCACTCATTCTTTTTGAATGTCTCTAATGTGGTAGAGCCCACAACTTCTGGAGGCAACTGATTCCACTGTCGTATTGCTCTGACAGTGAGGAAGCTTTTTCTGATATTTAGCCTGAATCTGGGTTGTTGCAGCTTGAACTGATTATTCCATGTCCTACACTCTGACATCAGCAAGAAGAGATTTTGACCTTCCTCTTTGTGACGGACTTTGAGGTTCTTATAGAGGGATGTCATGTCCCCCCTCAGTCTTCTCAAGGCTCATCCCAAAAAGGGATTGGGTGCAAAAAAGAAAATGGGATTGGGAGCACAGGTAGGCAGGGCTGGGGAGACACAAACACAGGCAGTGGTGCTCAGTTGCAAAATTCTTATGAGGGTTCTAGCCAGGAAAGTGAAGCAAGCGCTCAAGTTCCCTGCAATTCCCTTCCTGGCTGATGAGTGAGGTCAGCTTGACCTTCCCCATGCCAAGTCTTGCTTCCTGGAAAGCAGTCTGTCTCCCAAGTGACCTGTGGCTCCATGGCTGATGAATGAGGCCAGAGTGTGCTGCACTACAGCTCTGCAGTCCTGATAATTATCCTTAACAAGACATGTTTTCCATGTACTTAAATACTAAACATGTTTTGTAAAATAATTATTATGTAAAGATAAACAAATGGGAAGGAACACTCTCTTGAATTCTTTGTGATGTCAGGGCACTCACTAGGTCTTCTAATGCAAGCATCTTTAAAAACTGACTCACTATGGCCTTGGACTAGTGTTTATCTTTCAGAAGCATCTCCTCACATGTAAAATTAAATGAATATGTACAAATAGAAATGAAACTCATTCACATGCGGTTTTTTAATCTTGAACATGATTCAGTCCATATAATGCTGGAGAATGATACAAGTAGGGGCTTGATACATAATATTTCTCTTCCAACTTGAATACTGAAATTATTCTTGGAAACAAATACCCACTGCCCATTCAAAAAGGAAAATAAGAAGGAAGTCATATTCACTATAATCCTAAATAGGTCCATATTTACCTACCCAGACAAGAAACCCTCACCCACTCGCCCCTGCCAAGTGGATGGCTCCAAGAGAAAGGGTCTTCTTCGCAGCAGCACCCAGTTCATGGACTGTTCTCCCCAGAGAGTCTCACCTAGCACCTGCACTGTGATCATACCAGTACAAATGCAAGACATTTTTATTCTCACAGGCATTTTAAGAACCATGTTGAACACTTTTAGGACTCCATTCTGCTACAGGTTTAGTTTGTTGTTGTGATCCACTGATTATATTTTATGCTGCTGGAGCGATTGTTATTGTAGGTTGTTTGAGGTACACCATTCAGACAATTGTGGTTACAAAGTTAAAAAATACAATAAGCAAACTCTGAAATTAGAGAGCTGCTGAAATGCTATGGCTACAAATCGCATCCAATGGAAATAAAAGGCTGATGAGCACGCTACCCATACTCCCCCAAGCTAGCATGCCTCCCAGATGCGCCAGACTGTAAGTCCCATCATCCGCGGTTGGGGAAAGCAACTTTAGCGTGATGAGTTTCAAGCTGCTGAGGAGCTGCTGTCGTCCAAAGGACTGAGAGGCCTCCGCCTGCCGGGCCTTTCCAGAAAAGTTCGCCTTGCCCTCCCGAACCGCTCGCGTTTGACACGGCAAACTGGCACCGAAAGGGGCGGGGTTCGCCCCGCCGACACGCCTTCTTTCTAGGCCAATGCACTCCCGGCCCCGGTTCGTCCGGACCCAAACTTTGCTCCAATCCGAAGACAGCGGGGCGGAGTTTCCCAACTTGGGACGCGGCGGCTGGCTTGCGCGCTGGCCATTGGCAGACCGCGGTGGCCCCCTCATTGTTTGTATGGTAATCGGCCCGGCGGAGGCGTGCTGCTCCTTTCTGGCTCCCCGGGGCGACGGTGCCTCCTCCGCCTGATGCAGCCCGGGGAGCCGCTGCTCCCGCTGCCGCCGGGCTTCTATATAAGCGCCAGAGCGGCTCCCCGCGGCTGCTGAAGATGCGGGCGCCTCCGCCGCTTGGCTCCGCAGCCGAGCCCGGCCGGGACGAGGCAGCCGTGAGCCCGGCGGAGGCGGTGGCGCCCGCGAGGCACGGCTCCGGACCAGGGCAGTAGCAGGTCGCGCTCGTGCTGCCATGAGCTGCTCGGACGTGGTGAGGCACCAGCCACAGGCGACGTGCCGCCCGCCCCAGCTGAAGCTGCCCGGCGGCGCCGCGGCATCGGCCGCGTGCCCCGCCGCCCCTGGCCCGCTCCCCGCGCCTCCGCTCGCGCACAGCCAACAGGTGAGACAGAGCTCGTGGTCGGGCGGGGCAGTGCTTCTTCCAGGGCGGGCGGAGGAAGGGGCAGCGGCGCAGAGCTGGGGCAGCCGGCGTGGGGGAAGCCGAACCGAGCCGGAGGCCCGGATGAGCGAGGGGCGGCGGGGCATCCTCTTGTCAGGGGTTCGGTCGATCTTGCGCTGCCTGAGCGAAGGCGAAGTCCTTCCAGACTTGCGTATAAGAGCTCCGGCGTGCGCCCTTGCAGTGGACAAATTCCGCTGAATCGGCGGTGGCGCGAGCCGGTTCAGCCTTTCGTTTGTGACAGCTCATCCTTGCAACTTGTTCCTTGATGCTTTGCCTAGGCACGTGTGAATTTGGTCCTAAATATATGTGACGACTTAGGTAGCTGCGCTTACACGTGAATGTTGTTAAGTGTCGGGGTGCATCTGGATGCTGTATGCAACTTCCAGGCACGGACCTGCTCTCCCACTCTCTCACACATGCAAACCTGGCCTCACCTCGGCCAGGTTTGGCTCCTAACACTGCACATCGCAGTCGCATGCATTCACTTGGGCGTGATGCAAATTGCTGAAGACCACTATTTGTGAGAAACACTGCCTTATGAATCGGAATAAGTAATACAAATATAGACTGAATTGAAATAACTGCTTGCCACCCCGTGTGTGTGTGTTTGTGCCTGTGTGTGTCTGTGTGTGTGGCTGCATGTGCACACCAAGCAGAGGGATATCCTTCAGACTGCGAAGATGCACAAGCCTGTAAATGCAGAATGTGCAAGGGCAGGGTCTGCTTTGTGAGGGTGGACTGGCAGCGCCGGCATCCATGTTACAGAGCAAAGGCACAACTCTGGCATTTTTTCTCTTGTGGGTTGATTGGGTTGATTGTCCCAGTTCTGTGAAAGTATTCATTGCCCCAAACACCTTAGTACCTGAGTCTTGTTGGGAGTGGTAGGACTTTTTCTCTGTCTAAATGTGCATGGGATTGTGTCCTTGTTGTGTTACTTGTGTGAAAGTTTTGGAAGAAGTAGTGCAAAATGAGACAGAAAATCCTTGGCATCTCATTGGTGTTTATGACATCATAGCAGACATCCTTACTGTCTATGAGCTGTCCTTTCCGTGGCACTTCCAAATATACCACATTGGGTGGGCTACCTCACGGTGGTAGTTTGGTCCCACCAAGAGTGTGGAGAGTCAAACCGTGACCATGTGAAGCTCCTAACGACAGAGAGGACACACACAGGTGTCCCTTCAAAAGAAAAGGTGTGTGTGTGAATGGGTTGTAGAGTGGGTGGATACTTAAAAGGGTCTGGAGTGTATGTATGCATGGCTTTTGAGGGAAGTTTTAGAAGCCCAGCCTGCTGCTTTTTCATGTTCCGCTAAGTAAACATGGGCTGCTCAAGTTCTGTGCCTAACTGTTGGGTCTGCTTGGATTTCTCTCCCCAGCCTCTGGCTTGGTCAAGCCTTGCTAGGAACAGCTCCACGTGCCTCTCCTCTCTGGCTGCATTGCTCAGCTGGCAACTGAAGGAGGGGCAGCCACCCACCATGGGATAGAGTAGGACACTCACTCACACTCTAGGGAAAAGAGTGTGCAGCCAATTGGCAGGAGGTTCCAAATGGAAGTGGACTAGATTTCAAGCCGGTTTTAAGGTTAGACCACAGGGATGCACAGGGCAGAAGGAGCTCAGCCACATGATGCACTGGCTGGAGTGGGTAGGGAGGGCTTCCTAGGCAGCAGAAGCTGAAGGGGCTTTGCTGGAAAGACAGGATGGGGTATTTTGTGCATCTTGGTTCCCTGTGAATTCCAAGTGACTCCTGCACTGTAAAGGTTATACCTTTATATCCTTTCTGATTCTTAACATATGATCTGAGAAGAAATTTCCATGGACTTATTATTTCATTACATTTATATGCTGCCCTATAGCCCGGAGGCTCTCTCTTAGTAAAACTTACTTTCAAGCATGAATACTTAGGATTGGATGGTCAGCTTAGTCTCACTAATTTTTAACAGACTCTTCCCAAGCCCATTTACTGGAAATAAGATCCAGCAAAAACAGCGGATCTTCCCATCAATGCAGTGTATTTTGCCTTGTTATATATAGATGTTAATGTCTGGGTAAATGTGCACATGTTTACTCCTTAAATTGCTTATCTGGTCAGTTTTATGTATTAAGTCTCTTAGATAGGTTACCAGAAATTCCTCTTTGTGATTACAGAGGGGCGGCTGACAGCTTTATTGAGTTAAGCCCTCTTAAGATATATGTGATGAAATGGGCTACAACTGAGAAAAAATCATGCCACAGTATATCTGTTAGTCCTTAAGGTGCAACAAGAGTCTGTGTTGCTTTTGCTCTTTTGGTTGGTTCCTCTGTGTTTTTAATTAAGAACATTGGTTGATGGGATAAACAGTGTTATTTTGGTCCTGAAATGAACACCTTGCAACTAGGCTGTAATTGCATGACTGCACTTTCTTAATGCCATTACTAGTACACCCATCCTAAACGCACAATTGAACACTGTGGGGTTCACTTCTGACTAAACATGTACAGCATTGCACAGTATCTCTCACTTGGTTAAAAATAATTAAAAAAAACCAGTCACTTTCCTCCCATTACGGTGCTTGATTTAAAGCAATCAGTTACTTTACAAGCTTAAAGACAATTTTTAATTCTCCAAAACTTACCTATCTAGAAATTCGGTAAGAACTGTTTTAGCCTTTGACTTAAGAATCTGATGTAACAAAGTAAATCAGGAAATTCTTATCAGGCTGACAGCATTTTTAGACTATGCTGTGCGTGGGTGAAGTGGGACTAATATTGACTTGGCCCCGATGCAGTCATCTGAGAATACATTTTTTGCTTGTTGCTGCATTCCATAAGGTTTTATCATTATTATTCACAAAAATTGTTTTCTCCGTACATGGGAAGTGACCCTTAATACCAGCTTGCCTGGAAGACACAAATATGGGCTAAAATACAAAGATCTCTATTTCAAGTTTATTTCCTCTTTATTTATTGCCAAAGCAGTTTCAGCAAAAAAATGGCTAATCTTTCCAGGTTCACCATACATGGATGGGGGGAGCATGTAGGCATTTGTTTTTTCTCTTCTTTCAGCTGTATTAAATTGATATTGAGATTTACCACTGCAGTTGCATCTGAAGCTTGCCAGTTTATTAAACTTTTACTTTTGAAGTATTCCACATTTGCAAGCATTATGTACCAAGAACAAACTAGGACACAAGCAAACAATAGTTTGCCACTGAACTGAGAAATGTAACATCACACTGGAACTTCAGGAGCTATTGTTCTGTTCTTTAGTTCTGCCCTTTTTATTTATTTTAATTATTTTAGGATAAAATCCTCAATGTGGCAAGGATACTTTTCCTTGTTTAAATTAATAGTATATTACAATGGGATGTACATATATCCTCTGTAGAGGAAAACTTTGAATGATCATTGGTTTAAGGCTGGACTAGTTTTTAGTATCTTATAATTCTCCACGTTAAACTATAAAATAGGTGAAACTTTGTTCTGAGCAATCTGGGATAGAACTGAACTGTATTGCTTTTAGGGATTTTTTTCCCTAAGTGTAATACACTGAAGTAAGAAGAATAACAAGAAATTTAAATTTCTAGCAGCGTGAAGAGTTTCCAGTAAAAAACCGTAACCAATGCCATCTTTAAAAGTTAACTTTTATACATGTATTTAATCCATGGGTTTGGGGGCTGGATGTAAAAGGGGGATTGGAGATTTTGTTTCTTATTTTGATGTGGTGTTCAAATTTCTGAATCGTTGGCTTTAAATAATTATCCAAACATGTTGTCTAGTACTGCATTGCTTGATGAGTACAACTACTTCAAAGGATATGTGTTAAAATGACCCCAAAAATGATAACCTTGTTTGAATTTTAAGAGTACCATTACCAGCATTTTAGATTATATGGTAATAAGCAAAAAAGAAGTCGCATAACATTCTGTAGTTTTGCAAAACAAAGGTTTTGAGCATCTTTTTCTGTTTATATTCATTGTAAAAATTAAATGCTTGCTTGCTTTTTAAGATATCTGCATATGTTATGCTAAAATATCTTAAGATATGTAAATCTTAACCTTGTCATTATAGAAATTGTAATTATATAAGACTTTATGGATCGCTAGATCAAATCTTTATACATTCCACTGTCCTATTTCCTCATCTTCATCCTTTTGCTTTAGTTTTTTTCCTTTTTCATTTTTAATTACTATTTCAACAAGAATTAAAAACAATTATTAATGTTCATTATTATCAGCTTGGGGATGTGTTTTAACTAAAGAAACGTTTTATTTTTTGTTCCGCCTTTTTGTTTTTCAGAACTTAAAACCTCATAAAGAGATAAGTGACTGAAAATATTGTGCTTATTTGAGCTCCAATAAAATCTGAGTTAGCAGGTTTATGTGAGCAGATGAATGGAAGTATGTATGTACATGGGACCCTTGGTTTAGAAACACTGACAAATTAAAAAGTAATCAAAGTTTCTTTATATTTACAAATTTGATTAGTTATGAAAGGGCCAGAATGTCAACATCTGTAATAAGTGCAATACAAATTGCACTGCCAAGAATATTTTGGGAAATTTGGAATGTATGTTTGGCTATGTAATGCCTTATAAGCCTGCAACATACTGGAAAAAAACTGGCTTATATAAATCCTAACACAAACAACATCTTTAGACAGTTTCCACTTTCCTTTTGGCTCTGTCTAGTCTGTTCTGCTTTTGGTGTTGTCAAAATACAATGGAAGAAGAAATCTAAATGAATTTATTATAAATTAGAATTTAATCATGAAGACTGCCTCAAGCTTATGTTTTCTGAAGCAAAAGAATACAAAAAAAAAAACCCAAAAAACCCCAAAACACAAAGGCCTTGTTGAGTCAAGTTCAGTGCTTTCCAGCCTCATCAATTTTATTTGAAGCTGATGCAAGTGTAAAGTTTTCCGTATGTTCTTTTGAAAATAGTATATCCCATGTGTACCATGTGTA